TATATTCCTACCCCTACAATTGAAATTATACATATTAGCATTCATAAGTACATCTTTTGTCTTGTAGTGTATCCACAGATGAAGGTATCTATTGTGGGACTGCAATACCCTTGAATAAAGTATATTCTTACCTTTAAAATTTGAAATTGTACAAATTAAACATTCATAAGTACGTTCTTTATTTTATAAAGCATCCATAGATAAAGGTATCTACTATGGAACTACAGTACAGGTGAATAACTAACTGTCTCACATAGAATACCTAATATACACAATAGAAAAATTAGTAGATTTATTGCGGAAATAGAAGTATTCACTGTGGGACTATGGTACTAGTGGATGATTAACCAAACCATTATTCAAACTAAATAGCATTATCAAGAACTTCTATAAACCAAATGGTGTATAAAAATTATTTTTGGGAATATTTTCCTCAGCCATCGACACTTGTTAATACCCAAAAGTAAAATCCAACTTAGTGAACTAATGATTTTTTCCTAAACAATTTAAAAGATCAGCAGTAGGAAGAAAAGGGTACACATCTGGAATAGTTATATAATTTAATGGATAATTATCAATGTAAAATTGAATACTCCTATAAAGCTTCATCACACACACACCTAAGGATTCTAGGACTTTCAGATAACATTCTTCTCTAATATCTCTTGAATATTTACTCATAAAATTTTGATCTCTTTTAATGAAAAATAATAAACAAAAACCTTAATCAAAAAAATATCCTTAGTTAGAATATGATAATCCATTGCAATATTAACCTCAAATAATAAATCAAAGTCAAAGAAATTAACATACTTTTTCTAAGCTGATCAACTACTAAAGTATAAAGATTTTTAATGGACCTAAATAGGGAATAGAAGAACAAAAAGGAAATTTAGAATAATTTTTTCCTGTATAATATTTTAAAATAACTTATAGATTGCTAGTCAATCCTCAACTTCTGGCTTACTTCCAAGAGTCCGATCTTCAAGAAGAACCTAAGCCTCATTACCATCAATGCCTTACTACATTTTAATTGCCCAAGGGATATATATGGGCATCAAATGCATCATAATGACATGTGCATATCACATAAATATTTACAAATGAATAAGGAAGATGCTCAACTTTGGATTGCCATGATTTATAGTATACATATTAAATCAGTAAGATCATAAAATTTCAAAATCAACTTCTAGGGATTTCTAGTTATCATGCTTGAATTAGTGTTGAAATGAGATTTTGATCTTTTGGATTTAAAGAGCTAACTAATAAATTCTTTGAGACCAATGAAAAAGACTTCTTAACATGTAATCACTTGAGAAAAGTTTTATTATCTTTGAATCCTAATAGGCCACCTCTTAAGCTGTTGGCAGCTATACATCATATTCAAAACCACTTGAAAAATTATATATGACTCCTTTGAAAAGATTTTTTTTAGTTGCTTACTTTAATATGAGTGCATACTCCATTAGTTAACATGGTATTGAGCTTGGGGTTAAACCCAATCCAAATGCAAAATAAAAAAGACACATAACAAAAAGTTAGATAATGTTTGAAATGGTGGGATTCAAGTTAGACAATGTCTGAAGTGGTGGGTTATGCCTTCAATCTTATGTCCTTACTATACTCTTAACCACTAGCTCAAGTGGAGGTTGATAAAAGGTTTAGTAGCATGATCTCTTATTGTTGTGGTAGTAAAAGGAGAATATTAAAAGATAAAGTCACATTTTTAAAAAAATTCATTTTTATATTGATATATTTAGATATTTTAATATATAAATGTATACATAAATGATTATTCAAATATAGTTTAATAAAATAGTTTGGGATTTGAATTCAAAACATATTATATGTATTAAAAATATACACTATATCTGTAAAAAAACTTAACAATAACAATTGATTCTTTAAATATGTATTCTAGTTTGCATAGAATAATAATATATATGGCATTTAGATTAGGTACAATATTTCTTTTCTAAAGGTGGGAAAATTATCCATATAAAAATATCAAAAAAATAAGGGCAAGAAAATAAACTTATTTCCCATTTGCTTTCTTTGAGTGATATCATATATTTACTATATTTCTATATTTATTAAGGAGTAACTATTAGTCACAGTAAAAATCAAACCCTAAACCTCTACTAATATAACTTAAACTTAAGATTTTTTATGCATTATAGGATTAATAAAATTAAGTTTCTGGAAGTTTTTGGTAAAACCTTACTTATAAGTTTATTAAGTAGGGTTATAACTTTATCAAAGTCACAATTCCCAATCGATATTTAGTTCCATTGATCTTTGAGATGTTAAGATGACTTGAAGTTTGAATTTGTATGGTGTTTCCAACCCTTTATGAAATTAAGGAATGTTCTATACTAAGTACCTATTAATAAACTTGTAAGTTATAACAAGTTGGAAATTGGAAGCACTATATAAGTAATGATACTTTAATTAAACTTTGTATAAGTACATAAAGTTCCATTTTGTAAAAATTTCTTTATTATGTATTCACTAGGTCTTTTTTTGGTTCCCATGTTACTTCGCAAAGTGGAAACCTTTTCCATTTCACATGGAAATCTTTCACTTCATATATTTTTAGCTTGCTTCTATATATATTGAGGATAACCTTAACTTCATATTCCTCCTCCCTTTAGATAACTTTACTTAGTCTTTGTGAAGTGGGTCTTTAAAGTATAGTTTAAGTAAGTTCACGTGAAATATAGTGTGTATTTTCCTTATTTTCTAGAGATGCTAGAGATAATAAGCCACCTTACTAAATTAAACCTCAATCTCATAGGACTCTATAAACCTGTTTAAAGAATTTAAGATTATTTCATTTTATAAATATATACACATTACCTTTCGGTTAATCTTCAGTTGATTTTATTTAGTAACTTTAGGTTTTTGGTGTTCAACCACACTTTCTTCCTAAGTTAGAACTTTATATTTTTATTCTTTTGGTTTGTATATTTAATTTGCCTTTGTTAAGCCTATTCCAAGAAATCTCTCACTAGATTCTAAATGTTGAGTTTTTCCATCGTGAATGCCTTCACCACATGTAACTCTCCATGATATTAGGCCATTTTGAGTTTCATAAAACTTTCAATGGTTTACCCATTGATGGCTTCTTTGTAAGCAAGCAAAACGAACAATTTAAAAGACAATCTATAGATTTTAAATATAAAGGGAAAAGGCCCATAAAAAAGAATGTACCCTTTTTACAATTGGTTAAGAGTCTTGGGATATTTAGAGTTAAGTGTTCTTGGGTTTAAATAATACTAGGTTGGGTGACATTTCGGGAAGTCTAAATTCAGGAGTTTACATTTCTATGGATTCACCTTGATATTTGAATGCGAGTTATTATAACATATTTTCACAAATCCCACTCAATCCATCTAGTCTTCAGAGATCAAACTATAAGAAGTTTGTTGCCAAGAGATGGAAAAACAATAAAATTATTAATAAAATAATAAAAGACTCCCCTCCTAGTTAATTTAGAAACCTAATCTTTGTATTAAATACTTATCTATATATAAGTAATATGTGACAATATTCTCAATATTTACTCTAATATTTATTTATTCTTTTAATTAAAAACTAAGTTGGTAATATTATAGTCATGGGTTCAAGACTCATTGACCATATTGATAATTTTATGGAGCATTTTTTTTCCATAGTGATGCTTTGTCAAAGTCCAAGAAGAAAGCCTAACACGAACACAAAGAATTTTACTTTGTGCACACTATTGTGAATAGAAGTCACTACTTTTATAGCTAAATATACTATCTTTTAGGGTTGCTTGGTGTGTTGAGTTTAATAATAAACACTCTTGAATGATGCAAAACTCAATCAACCACCATCCCCTTGAAAGTTTATTTGGTAAAAGGCTTTGTGAAGAAGTTGCTTTGTTGATCATTAGTAAAGCTTAAGAATTTATTCTTGAACTAATTCACACGCATAATGGTAATGCACTCCATTTGTGCACCATGATTCCATCTTTGTTTTCCATGTAGAGAGGCAAGAAAGGTTACCCAAGATTAAGGAGGAAATCATGAAGCTAAAGAATCTCCTTTCAAGTTAGAAATTGCATGTATTATAATCATTATGAGGCTAATATTATAGAATGGTGACAAATGAGATGCTATATGTTGCAACTCCTCCATAAGTTAAGTGAAATATTTTGTCCTGTAGGATAAATTTGGCTAATTACCAATGTAGTTTGCTTGGATTTGCTAAAAAATTGGTTTAGAGGAATAGTAGAGAAAGCCCAAGTTGTGAGCACCATATCATACCAAGATTGCAATAAGGCTTCTAAATGACATGGAAGCTATTAAAGCTTAGCTTCTTAGAGAGAATAGTGTTTAGTTGCATAAACACAGCAATTAACCATGTTAAATTACTCTAGAATGTCATGAAAATATTTCTTTTGAAAAATCTGAAGTCAGATTTCCAAGCTAAAGCAATACCTAAATCCTCCACTCAAAATAGCTTTAAACAGTAAATAAACTAATAAGTTGCTAATCACTCAGCATATAATACTACAATGAGCATATAAGAGTTGTGAGACTTGAGAAGGACATTACGATGAAACTAAACTCTAGAGGCTTGTTTAAGGCCATAAAATACTTTCTTTAACTTCCATACCTTCCAAACTAACATTAAGAAATGTTATTTTGATATTTGTGATACAAAGTGAGGAAATGCTAGCAAAATATAAAGGCTTGTCATCTTAACTACTAGAAAATATGTGTCAAATACTTTTGGGAAAAATTTTGTGCTACTAAGTGAGCTTTGTAACAACTAAATATGCTACAAGCATTAAACTTAATTTTATATACCCAATGTGAACCAAACTATGCAAGATCTGATTCTTCAAAAACATCCTTTTGAGTAATAGACTGAAATTCCTTTTGCAAGGGCAATTCTTAATTTCTTTGTACTGTGGAAAATGAGTTTGAAAAGGCTACTTTACTACCTTGAAATTTTATGGCTCAACATGCATCATTAAACCATCTTTTCCATTTTGTGAAACTTGAACCATACAAAAATTTGATGAGAAAAAAAACTGAGCTTCTAAACTCCATAGACATAGTCTGTTTAGGGTTGATTGGACGAGCTCGTGAACGTCGGGAAAGGGAAACTCCCGGAGCTAGCGCTCATTGAAACGCTACGATCAAACTCCAAAACCTCGCGCGATCGCCGCAGCTCCGGCAGCGCCGGCGCATTGCCCTTGAGCGAATTCACCACCTGGCGCATCGTGGGCCGGTTCCTGGGGCTTGGATCCGAGCACGCCAGCCCGATTGTGAGCACCGATTCCATCTCCCCGCCATCGAAAACCCCTCCCAGCGCTGGATCCGCGGCCTCAACCAGGCTCCTCTTTCGATACAGCTCCCAGATCCACTCGCCCAAGACGGTGTAATCGTCAAAGAATGGCTTCTTTCCGCTGGCCACCTCGAGCAGCACGATCCCAAAGCTATAGACGTCCGAGGCGGTGGTGCACTGCCCGGTTATGTTAAGCTCCGGCGCGAGGTAGCCGAAGGTCCCCGCGATGGCGGTCGTCCTCGCCTCGCGCTTGCGATCGATGAGCCTGGCGAGGCCGAAATCGCCCAGTCGCGCGTTGAATCCCGCGTCGAGCATCACGTTGCTGGGCTTGACGTCGCGGTGGACGATCCTCTCCTCGCATTCCTCGTGGAGGTAGAGCAGCGCCGCGGCGAGGCCGCAGATGATCTCGTAGCGCTTGCTCCAGTCGAGGGACGAGTTCGTGGCGATGGCCTTGTCGAGGCTGCCGTTTGGCATGAACTCGTAGACGAGGAGGAGCTCTCTGGATCGGCAGCACCAGCCGCGGAGGTGGACGAGGTTGCGGTGCGAGAGCTTGGTGATGATCTCCACCTCGGCCAGGAACTCGCGCTCGCCCTGCCGGGAGTTCTCGCCGATTCTCTTCACTGCCACTGGAGATCCATCGCCGGGGAGGAGCCCCGCATAGACGTTGCCAAAGCCGCCGCTGCCAAGGAGATTCTTGGGATCGAAGTTGGCGGTGGCGGACTTGAGGTCGCGGTACGAGAGCTCGGATGGCATCGCGATGTTTTGCTCCAGGTTCCGCCCTCTCAAGCTCACATCGTCCGATGATCCATCACCGCCAGCCGAGAACAAACGCATTCTCTTGCAGATAAGAAAGATCCCGCCGAGCACCAGCAGCAGCAAGAGCGAGAAAACCACGCTGACGATCACCACGACCCTTGTTCTGGATCCATTCTTCTCTTGATCATGATCTCCTCCGCTTTCTCCTCCTCCTCCTCTAGGTGGTGGCGACGATGAGCCACTTAAGCCCGTGAAGTTCTCTCTACTAAAACGTAGATCCGGGGCGGAGAAATTCCAGGCGTGGACGATGTGCACGTCCCGGCTGAGATCCCCAGTGGCGGCAGAGAAGCCCACGAACACCGCCCCTTCGACCGCCGCCTCCTCGCACAGGTTCACGGGCTGTGGCGGCACCAGCGGCGCCGCCGGTCGCCGCCGCGAGTTCCTGGCGACGAACACGACCAGCGAGTGTTTGACCGCGTCATACTCTATCCACGCGCTCACGTTGGCGGACGAATCGTGCAAATCCACCCTGTTCCCAGCGTCCGATTCGAACGTCGGGCTCACCTGGGACCGGATCTGGTTGATATCCACGCCGACGTGATCGTCATTTATGTCCTGGAGCTCGGGATTATGGACCGAATCGAATTCCACCGCTACCAATTTGTTGCTCCGCTCCCTGTCCATGGCGGGATCGAAGAGGCCGAGCCAGGAACCCGAGCTGCCGGATGGCGCAGGCAAGAGATTCCCGGAGATGATAAAGGCGAGACCATCGCCGCGAGTGGCGGTGGAGTTTTGAATGGAGAAGACGAAGCTTGTCGAGAAGCCGGCGGTGGTGTTGCAGATCTGAATTGCTCGATCATGCATTGCTCGGCCCGTGCTTCTGGGAGATTGGTCCGAGGTGAGCCAGAGATCCCCGGATTGTGCGATTGTGGCGTCGTTTAGGAGGGCCAGGTGAGGCTGTGCTGAGATGATTGAGCAGTGGAGACTACTTACCAGCCAGAAGAACGCCACGGCCAGCTCCATCTTGATTCATCCTTCACGAAGGAGGACGTCGTCTTTTGTTTTGCTTGGTTGTTTTGCGTTGGCTTGGTAGGAAGTCTTTGTTGGTGGTAATGTTGCCGTGGGGCCTCGGTTGTAGTTTTCTCTGAGTGTACGCTTGTCACAGGCCCAGGTCCAAAAACACGTCGTTCGCTTTGAGCGCGGCGTGGATTAAGCCCCAAGGTAAATAAGCTGGAGAAGTTGCTACAAACAATTTTCTCTTCTGAGATCTTACTTTTAACTCTTTTCATTACAAGTTCTTCGCAGCCATCCAGAAAATTTGAAACTTCGACACAGATCGCAATGGACAGAGAGAATCGAAGCGGCTGCTTCTAAGAACAAGGTCTGAAATCTTTCAGACTTAGTGGATCCTCTCTAGGTGTATGATCGCTCCGTGACAATTCGTCCGATCTGAAGATAATTGTCCGGACACTTTAAGGTCAAATATACAAAAAGTCAAGTATTTAAATCAGGGACGAGCTTTTCTTGTAGATTTGTCAGTTTGATAAAACTTAGGGCTGAAAGTCAATTAGAATTACTTAAGTTAAAATACTCTTTTTCCATTGGATAGTGCAAAGTGTGAGTTTTTTTTCTCTCAAACTTGCGACGCCCTGGGCTGTGGCGGATTGCTCTGGCGCCTGGAGCAACCTTGTTTCTGGCCTCGATCTGCCAGACGAAGGAGCACATAGAGGTCAGAATCTCTACCCAGATTGGCAGCAGTCGATGATCCAGCGGCATGAGGTGAGATTGGGAGGTGAAGGAGGGGCGATGGGAGGAAATTCTTGTGGCGGAGCGGGATGCCCCAGGAGAAGTAAGCTCTTCCAAAGAGGAAGCGTGACGAGCTTTTGAAGACCAAGAGAGTGGCGTTCGGGGCTCCAGTTCTAAGGATAATTGGAGCACCACAGCCGAAAACGATGGTGGCAGAGATCCTCGCGATGATTTCCTCGAGAGATTGCCATGAAGAGAATCGCGGCTGAGAACTTGAAGACGCGCGCTGAAGAAACAGAGAACCACATCGAGCAATCAAATCTAAGCCTCCAGAAAAGGTCCCCGGATTAAGTTGATGCCGAAGTTTAAGTTTAATGAGCCAAAAAGGCCGACAAGGAAGCACTCAAAGGCGTGGAATGCAAGCAGTGCAAAACGTTCTACGACGCACTGGAACTCCCAGGCGATGGCAACGGGAATTCGCTCTGTGATCATCACAATCAGGTGTACCGTGTCAAAGGCATCTTCCTCCCTCAATGCCAGAAGGCAATTCTGGAACATAATTGGCTTCTCAGAGAACTGAGCGCCAAAGTCCAGATTTCGTGGTGCTGGACTAGGAGAATGTAAGCACCGATCCCGTTATCTTGTACCAAGACGAGGCTCCCTGGAGCTTGGCGAAGTTGCGAGCTCGAGTTGAGGAGGCACCAATGAAGCTGGAAAAGCTATTTCTTTTGGAGCGCTGGTGCAGGACACTTGCTGTGAGAACGCTACTTACCAGCCAGAAGAACGCTAGTGCTACTTCCATCTTGATTCATCCTTCTCTTGTCAAGGACGTCGGGAGGACGTCTTCTCTCTTGCTTTTTTTTTCTTGCTGGGTTGCTTTGTTCGCGTTGGGTTGGCAGCTGGTAGAAAGCCTTTGTTGGTGTGAAGATGGATTGATGTTGCCGTGGGTCCGTGGTGACCCTACGTGCAAGTTGACATAGTTGTACGGGACGTTCCGTTTGATGATGGAGTATCTCTCAGCGTTGCCGCGTGACTGTGGTTTCTGGGTTTTGAGATCTTGCCATTAAAACTCCAGGTATGGGAGAAATCGAGCTCTCTCTTTCTCATTACGACCTCCTCCTCCTCACAACAATGCGCTGCCTGTTCCTTTGCAGCTCCTCTAAAGAATTGGCAGATCCAGAGAATTTGGAGCTTCGGTCGCCATCGTCGAGCAAGGCGGGAGTCGGAGGTTTGCTAGGAAAGGTTTGGAGCTCCTTCGCAGCAGATCGTGGTGGCCAGAGAGGTACGCTCGCAGAGGTCGAGAATCGAAGCGGCAGGACGCTTCTCTTCTTCGAGAAGAACAGGGAGGTCTGGAAGAGGAACTTGTTTCGGCTGGATCCTCTCCAGACCCTGCGCCTCTCGCCGGAGTGCCTGATCGATGGAGCCGAGACTTACACCCGGGTGGAAGTCTTGGTGCTGGATGATCGCTCCGGCAAGCCTATGACAACTCGTCCAATCTGGATCGAGCCTTTTGATTTCGTGATGTACAAAAAGATCATCGTCCAGGGCGCTGGAACAGCGCTGGAGATTCTCAAAGTGTGAGATGAAGAGCAAGAAAAGTCAAGTACATCCGGAAGGAGCGAAGAACATCCGGGAGGGTTTCGTGTTGACTTGAAAGTCAAGTCTTTCGTAATGTCATAAGGAAACACAGAGAAAAACGCGAGCCTTTCTTGTAAGTTGTGAAGATTTCAGTGCTCATCATCCATTTAAAAGTTCTATGGTTGAATTTACGCTTGAATGGAGGTTCAGTCAAGGAGTTCTAGAACCTGGAAGGTTTTAAAAAATTATTCACAAACTTACAAGGATCCAAAAGAATCCATCATGGAGTTTCGCAAACTCCACTGTGTTTTTTTTTAATCTAAAAAACCATGCAAGCAACCAAAGGAAAATACATTGAAATTTTCTTTAGTGCGTAAAAGGTAAAACCATAGAAGTTTTACTCGGTCAAGGTCATCTGGGCGCTGGAAATTTCTGCAAGAAGAGCCTGCCTCCACACCCGCTAATCACAAACTCTCGATGCATGGGGAGCTCGTCCGAATCGATGCGCAGCGGCGGGATCACGGGCAATCCCTGGTCTCCCCACACCACCTCCATCCACACAAACGTCCCGGCCATGATATTCGGCTGGACGACCACGCTGCTCTCCGGATCGATCGAGAAGAGCAGCCGGCCCCACACCTCGCGGTGCTTCTCGTGGATTTTGATCTGCGCATCGCTGTTATTCACGATCCGCGTGATGCTCGATGCATTGGCCTTCTTCCTCCGCGAGATTATCGCCCAGTTGAGGCTGGCCAGATTGTCGCTGCGAAAGGGGGAGTGGAGAGGGGATTCGGGGGCGCCACTGCCGGGGCTGCTGGATTTGGAGTGGGAATTGGGGAGAGGGTCTTCCGGGATGGCGATTGAGAGCCCACCTGAAGAGGAATTGGGCGCGAGTGGCTGTCGATTCACCTCGTGAGAGCTTCCAACCCTACAGCTAGTTTGCTTGGCGCACGACCAGAGGCAGCCCATAACGGCGATTCCAGGGGATTGGCGCTGCTCGTCCCAGTGGCGCTCTATAGCCTAGGTAAGCTTCCATCTCTCGCGGAGGATTTTGGATGGACTTGGCGAGACCTCTTCCGCCGTTGGATTGGGTCAAGTCCATGGTCAAACGCGCGTCTGTCAACAGTTGATCGCTCCCTCGGACAACGTTTGAAAGAAAATGAAAATACTGTTTATTGATAATTATGTTGTTAATCGTGTTTAGCTGAGACGGTTGAAATTCCGCCACATGGAGAGAACGTGGCGGGAATCGACGGCCGGGACATATTCTCTCCTCCCTTGTTGTGGACGAGGGCTTTTATTACTCCTTGCAAGATTTGTGCTAGAGCCTTCCCAGGAGCTTGGATTTCCCCGAGCGATGCAAGCGCCTAGGGCATCGCCGATCCGTCCATCCAAATGCGGCGGACTGGCAGCGCGCCACGCCGGTACGTGTTGATGCTGTAGCGCTGCGAGCGAGCAAGAAGGGTTTTCGCGGATCGATCGATTGAGATGACGAGGCTGATGAGGATTCTTTCCGTGATGGTTTTGGCTACATCGACGAGATTACGTGCCGAGGATGTGCCCTTTGGGACGGGATTGTGGTATATCTATGCCGGGATCTCGACCTTCCTGGTTGTGTTTGCTGGGCTCATGTCTGGTCTCACGCTGGGACTCATGAGCTTAGGCGTGGTGGACCTGGAAGTTCTACAAAGAAGTGGTACTCCCAAGGAGAAGCGTCAAGCGGGTGAGTTTCCTACTTCCACTTTACTTCCACTTTTGCTTCGTATAACATCTCTTTTTCCAGCGGCAATCTTTCCAGTGGTTCAAAAGCAGCACCAGCTCCTGGTGACTTTACTTCTCTGCAATTCAGCTGCCATGGAGGTGAGTGAGAAAAAATGGTTTTTTTCTTTGATGGTGAATGATTTTGATGCCAATTTCTTGCAGGCTCTGCCGATTTTCCTGGACAAGATGTTCGATCCTGTCACAGCAGTCATATTGTCCGTTACATTTGTGCTTGCGTTTGGAGAGGTTTGTGTTTCACCGTATTCTTTGGTTGCGATTCCCAACGTGTGAACTCCAGGTTCTTCCTCAAGCCATTTGTGCTCGATATGGGCTCGCTATCGGTGCGAATCTCGTCTGGCTTGTCAAAGTATTGATGGTGGTCTGTTATCCAATTTCTTATCCCGTTGGGAAGGTATGCACGACGAGGCTCTTTTTCTTATCCGTTAACATTGATCATGCAGTTGCTGGATGCTGTACTCGGACCTCACGACTCCTTGTTTCGTCGCCCACAATTGAAGGCCCTTGTCTCCATTCATGCGATGGATGTAAGGCATTTCACGCGATTTTGTTGCCTTGGCTTAGCAACTGATGTCAGGATGTTAACATTTCTATGCAAAAGCTAGGCAGGCAGAGGCGGTGAGCTCACTCACGATGAAGCGACTATAATCAGCGGAGCTTTGGACTTAACTGAAAAGGTTTGAGCTTTTCTCGATGTTAACACTTGCTAATATGCCGATCGGCTTCGTCTAGACTGCAGAAGAAGCGATGACACCTGTTGAGTCTACATTCTCTCTTGAAGTTAACTCCAAACTTGATTGGTATTTTATTGCAATTGTCTTGTCATGAAGCTGATAATATATCTGTCCTCTCCAGGGAAGCAATGGGACGGATACTTGCTCGGGGTCATAGTCGTGTGCCAGTTTTTGCTGGAAGCCCTCGTAACATCATCGGACTGTTGCTGGTAATCGACTTGATATATTTTTGTTCATATCACATCGATGTTTTTCCGCTTTCGTTTAGGTGAAAAGCCTATTGACAGTTCGGCCTGAAGCCGAAACGCCTGTCAGTGCTGTGTCCATACGAAAGATACCAAGGTACTTAGTTTTACTTTTGTATAAGGTACAATTGGGGGTTTCTGCTCAGAGTACCTGCGGACATGCCTTTGTACGATATCCTGAACGAGTTCCAGAAGGGAAACAGCCACATGGCAGCTGTGGTGAAAGCGAAGATGAAAAGGAAGCCAAGGCACACTGCACATCACACACATAATGTGAACCACGAGGAACGCTGGTCGGACGGTCCCAAGCAGCATGACGATGAAAATGGAAAGGCAGCCTTGGAGAAGAATGAAACGACGATTGATGTAGATGCAACTCAACCAAAGCCTCCAGATTCACGTGATGAAGATGATCCCGGAGATGATTTAGAAGACGGAGAAGTTATAGGTATTATCACTTTGGAAGACGTGATTGAAGAGCTGCTCCAGGTAAGAAGCCTAGCTGTGAATACCTTCGCCTTAACAGATTTCTTGTATCTGGTTTCCAGGAGGAGATAGTCGATGAAACTGACGAATACGTAGATGTTCACAGGAGGTAAGCATCTTCTTGCGGCCTCATGTCTTAAATCTCGTTTTTCGTGCCAGAATTCGTGTTGCTGCTGGATCCGTCTCGAAAGTCGCCACTAGTGTCCGTCGAGTGGGGTCGTCGTATCGTGTTTTGGTAAGCTTCTTCTGCTGTTTCTTGTGGCTGGTTTTACTTTGTTTGCATTCGCTTGCAGGGGCCTACTGGTGCGAAGTCCAACATAAACAGCCAAGTGTCCGGGGGTAGCCCGAATCGTTTTGTCCTAGAGGCAGATTGCAAGCAAAACGCTGAGAAGGCGACGCATAAGCCCACGTCGGAAGGCTTGACAGAGCCTCTTCTTGGAAATGGTGGCGTCGTGGTGGCATAAAAAGTCGGCTTTTTTTTTGTCGCCCAGAGTTTTATTCTCATACAATCTGGACTTTTTTGCAGCTTAGGAAGTCTTGAGCATGGATACAAGCAGTCGACGAGGAGGCTTGGATGGATGCCTCGAATGGAGCACGGCGTGATTGTTCACAACCATGACATCTCCTGGCTTCCACTTGTGAGGTACTTGGTGGTCGTTCATAAATGCAAGCGAGGCTTTAAGAGCGTCTGGTGGAAGCGGTGTTCCATCGCCATATTCCAAATGCCGGAGGTTTGGAATGGTGGGATCGGAAGAGCCAATGTTGTTGAACCACGTCTTTGAGTTTTCCTTGAGCTGCTTGATCGCCGGGCGGGGTCCGTGGTAGACTTTCACTCGTCCGTCGTCTAACCATTGTAGTTTCTTTGACAACTTTGAAGCTCTGCAGGGAAGTCCCGGATAAGAAACTTTGGTGCTCGAAGATCGAGAGCAAGAGAAGCAAAAAAAGAGATCGCTACTTACTTGAGCTCCGCCTGGGATCGATCATCCGTGCCAAACTTCTCCTTCCACTCGTCCTCGGCGAGAAAGTTGTAGTAGACGAGGCCTTTCTCCTCGAGGTTCCGTACGAACTCGGGGTACTCGCGGGCCATGCCGTCGTACACGGTACGGCCTTGTACGATCCCCGTCTCGCCTCCCTCCGGTGGAGCGATCTCGCAGAAGAACATCACCACGTCGGGATAATCCGGCAGCTGTGGAGAGAAACAACACAAAGATCGTGAGTTGCCTGGGCGATTCATGAAGAGAAGCGGGAAATCTTCGCGATCGGGAGGAAATCGTGAAGAAAATGCGAAGAAATCGCGAAGATCCGTGAGGAGGGAGGGATACAACTCACATAGGCCATCTCGTTGTGGAATCCAATGCGAATTTCCAGCGGCAGCTCGTTGGCAGTGAAGACAGGGCCGACGATATACGTCCTAGCCGCCGCGCCCGCCTCGTATCCCATGCTCTTGTATCCAAACGCCTCCACCACCGTCGCGAAATCCTCGGCATTCTTCACTGGGAAGCCCCGGAAGAGGATCGCGCCGCTGCTGTCGAGAAGGGATTCCAGACCGGGCTTGTTCTTCCGGATCGCCGCTGCCAGGGCTTCCAGCGAGGGATGATCGCTGCCGGGAACTAAAACCTGTGGAAATGGAGGATTGGAGTGAGGTGGATCAGTCACGAACTCCGCCACGGCCGCCAATAGATCCGCCATAGCTAAGCTCTAAGTCCTACTATCTTAGTCAATAATGTGTGATTATAATACTGACACGTCAGCCACAAGCAAATAGTCACAGGTGGCTTTCCACGTCAGCTAGCTATTGGTCTGGTTTGAACCGCCGACCTGTGGGGTTTATTGCGCTTATTCGCGGGAACATCACATTTCCTCGCGAGGCGCATCGATCGATCGGGGCGCGATGGCGAGGGCGCGATGATCCTTTGGCGCCAAGACGGGGAAATCTCGCACGCGCGGCGCCGGAGCTCTGAAGCTGGGGCGTTCTTGCTGCCTGATCGGATTCTTGCTTTTAGGGAATGCTGGGCTCGTCGGGCGGGCACTGGCCTGGGAATGGCTTCTTCTCGTCGGGAGGTGCGAAATCTAGGCCCTTTTCCGGGATTTCTTTGTTGTGATGTTTCCCTCTTTCCAGAGATTCGGAAGAAGGCGCAAGATGTTGAGGAACTCGCGAACGCGAGCTTTTCATGGACAGCGCAGAAGGAAATTCGCTTCTCCCGGGCGATTGAAGAGGTTCTTGGCGACCTGGAGCCCTCCCAAGAAGATCGCGACGCCCGAGCAGCTATTGTCGCCTCGTTCGACAGCTTTGTCAAGCAGACTTTATCTGGTGAGTGTCTCTCATAAAAATGCGTGATTTTTCTCTCCAGCTGTTCTCTTCTCTCTCTTTTCGTTAGAAGATGATCTTTTTTCTTTTCTTTTTTCTCTCCCCAGGCTCGTCAGTCGTTGCTCCTTTTGGATCATATGTAACCAACACATTCACTTGCGACAGCGATCTCGATCTATCGCTTTACGTGAATCGTATGAACCCTCTTTCCCGAGAAGAAAAACTCTACTTTCTGAAAAGGGTCACGACCAGTTTGCAAGCAATGCATGGTAAGCGTAAAGCTAAGATTAAAGTCTTTCATTCATTCTTACTCGTTTTCTTGTTGGCTGGCAGCACGGTATGATCAAATACAGCCCATTTACAACGCTACTGTTCCTGTGGTGAAGTTCGTGGACCGTAAAACTGGAATACAGTGTGATCTCTCTGTAGACAACAAAGATGGTGCATCAAAATCGTTGGTACTAGCCGCTCTATCTTCAATCGACAAGCGCTTTCGTCCACTCTGTCTACTGGTACCATAAGTGTTGAATGTCAGTCGTTTTCTGAGATGTTCCATTCCAGCTGAAAAAATGGGCCAAATCTCACGAGATCAACGATGCTAGCGCTGGTACCTTGAGCTCGTATGTCATCACACTTTTGGCCATATTTCACCTTCAGGTCAGGTTGTCTAGGGAGTTGTTTTGGAGTGCTTTTTGACATGCTTACTTTGCAGACATGCTCCCCTCCAGTCCTCCCGCCATTGTCTATGATTATTGGAGGTTTTCGCCACTCTTTAACTTTTATATTATTGTTGAGTGCTCTTTAGCAAGGTTTTGTCCTCGTCACAGATCTCCGTCCTCGTTTTCTCTTCTCTCATATATTGTTGGTTTGATGAGATTCGTTAGTATTTTCTCATTACTCGGCTTGCTTTTTGCAGGACTGGACCTTGATGCTTCCTATTGCAGCGGGTTTATAAGTGCCCGCGCCAAAGCTTTTCAGGGCTTTGGTGCTCGCAACATGGACAGAATCTCCGAGCTCTTTAGGACCTTCTTTGTAAAGGTGTTGGACTCAGTTCTAATTTGTGTGTGTTCTCACTCAGTTTTCCAATGCGTAGATCACCGCTGTCAAGGCACTCTGGCAGGAAGGACTCTGTGCGAGTACTTACCATGCACAGTGGATCTCAAAGTGGCCAAGCTTTCACAATGGTTGCATTTGCGTAAGTTTCGCCTTCCGCAACATGATCATGCTCCTGATGACGTTCGCTTATGTTTTTCAGGTGGAGGATTTTTACGATCCGTCACGGAATGCTGCCAAAGCCGTGACACCCAAGGACTTCGAGTGCATCTACCAGTGCTTGGAGAACTCGGTAGATGCGTTCCGAAGGCCAATCACGGATATGGAATCGTTCAAGAAGATGATCGTCGGCGATGGATGTATGCCGAAGGTCACTCCACCACCACGGCCTGAGCCACGATTCCCAGACCCGCGCGACATTCGTCCCAGCCTCGCAGTGCCTCTCCTCCTCCAAGGCCGACCTCACAGGCCTGCATCGGGACCTCCAAACCGCCGGTTCTGTGAGTATTTGCTCTTCACTAGCTTCTAGTTGTTTGCTCACCATCCATGGATTTACAGAGAAACTGAGGAAACGCAATCAAATTAATTCGTCCGAGTGTCAAAGGCGAGCTTTAAAGTTAAGGTAAATTATTGTTTCCAGGGAACTGCTCGGAGCACAAAGTGCTCTGGAAGTTCTTCATTATAATTTATCTCTTCCATCTCATGTTTGATTGTTGGTCACTTGCAAAGAAAATAGCTTTCATTCATCTAGTATCACTGCATCAAAGAGATTCTATTACACCGCTCCAGCCATTCTTGCTGATAGTTCTTGGTCCATCATTTTGATGATAAACTGTTGCAGCTTAAACAGATCAAACTCGATATGGTAGTCACCCTTGACATCTCCAGTGAAGTGAGCCATGGGAAACTTGATCACAAAGCCTTCGCTGGTCTTGCAAAACTCCGGCCCAAACATGATCTCCCTCATGTCACGGCTGCCTTCCTCCTTGGCGAGAAACGTGAATTGGCAGTCGCTCGTAACTTTGACACCAATCACCACCTTGCAACCAGACTGCTCCCACGTCTCCACCACCTCTCGCAATGTCTCGATCGTCTCGTTCCTGTACGCCACTTCGACCACGGCCCTCGCTCTCGCCATGTCCGAGTTGGAGAAATAGCACTGATCCGGTTCCTTGTCGCCCGTCACTGTTGGAAGGCGCGAAGCTCCGGCGGGCGTGATCACGTCTAAACACTCGTCCACGCCAGGAAGAGTGCAAATCTGCGAGATGATGTGAGTGTTGAACCATTGCGAGACGGTCTCGTGAACGATGGAAGGGTCCCCGTGCATCCACACATCGCCTTCCTTGTATTGCAATCTCCAGTGGCACTCCAAGCCATCCATCCAAGCATCATAAACTGCCCATGGTACCTGTTGGGCAACGAGGAATGGCCCCTCCTTGTCTCCCTCTTCATATGCGGCGATGGCCTCCCTCAACCCTGCTTCCAAGGACTCCATACGACAGAAAAAGAAAAAGGAAACACTCGTCAGAGATTTAGGGTTTATCCGTCTAGGGAACATAACAAAATAAAGGTTTGTCGGATCAAGCTATAATATCTCAGAAATTTAAAATAACGTTCCAAATAACGTTTCTTTTTCAACATATAACACTTAACTAATGATATATTTGGAGCAACTAGAGTTTAATATATATGCACAAAAAGAAAACATGCACTTTAATACTTAATCATATTTTAATTTGTGTTGATGTAAAAGATTGTTTTAATTCTATTGTAAAGTTATGAAAGATGGTTAAAATATAAAAGGGCTTTATATTGTAAATGGATGTCACCAAATAAAAGTTATTATTGCTTATATACAATTTACACTTTAGAATTGACAGCGAAAGTGCCAAAAAAAAAGTGTGGAGGGGCTATATTGCACACCCTTATTGCACACACAAATTTAAAACATAATATTATAATTTTCTCAGTTAAAATATCAATTCAGATAACATATTATATAAATTTATAAATTTATTTATTAATAATAAACTTATTTTTGTTTATATATATAATATACATATATATTTATTAGAGGTAAATTTAATCTTACATACAATGAAAGAGTAATTTAAGTAAATTAAAATTATAAGATATATATTTAAAGAACAAAAAAAATGAAGAAATAGTTCTAATTACAAAAGTAGTTTTAGTTAAAGAATTTAATTTTGCCAATTTTCTAAGTTTTATTAAAAAATTCTAAATAATATTTGTTAAATTTAACATTACTCTAGGAAAAAATTATGTAACAAACTTTTTACTAATATAGAATAACATAACATTAATATTGTGAGTGCTCGGGATATAGGAATAGGTATATTAATTGGGGTTTAGACCCCTGCTTAAGAATGGATGGACCAGATTCAATCCCAAATAAATGATCCATATACTATAATACTATAATTAGTGTATTATCTAGCCAAAGTATAGATATATATATTTATATGTATTTATAAACATTACACCATCCTCCCCTCTAGAAGATAAAAGGTGATAATAATAAGGTAGAAGGAACACACCTCCTTATCTAGGAAGTTATATTGGGCATATACTACCACAAAAATCTAAAACTCTTATAAAATCACTAATAAAATTGCTAACTGCCATAACTGAAATAAAATCCACAACTATGGCATAAGCATTAATTGATTATAAAACCCTAATGAACTAGTTGCAACTCTATATGCAATAGCTAAATGTTCAAACCAACCACTAAGCCATAACTTTGAATCAAAATAAAGCATTTTGAGAGCCACTATAATCCATAAAACACCATTGTAGTAAATAATATATCCCATTTTTAAATCTACTTATCAATGATCACCATTAACTCAAACTTATGATTATAAGCAGAAGCTAGTTTTATGTCTTCCTTTTAGTCAACATTCAAGACTTGTCTTAACTTAAACTCATGACTTTTGACTTTGTTTAATGCTATATATAGGAGGTTGAACTCACTATATTTGTCCTTTATAATCTCCTTATCCTCTTTTTGAAGGAAAAAAAGTTTTAAAGCACTATTATATTTATTCAGTCTCATTATGTCGAGGCTAGATATTCCATACAGATTTTCTATACAATCCATATCATTTTTTTTCACTTCACTATTGTATTTACTCATCCTCATTCCATTGTTGGATCTATACTCTTGTCTATCCTCTTTACCCCCTTCTTAAAAAAAAAAGTTTGAAGTTTTCGAGCAAAAAGGAGAAAGAGAGAAAAATGGAGGATTAGACATTGTGGAAGAAAAATGGATAAAAAAGTATCAAAAGAAGAATTTTTAGCAATTGTTAAAATAGAAATAAAGTAGAAATGGGGAGAAAAGAAGGAAACATGTTCAAAACCTGGAGAATACAAGATTTACTATAATAAAATACTTTGGCTAACATGAGATAATTAAGAGAATTGACACTACTCAATTTCTTCAATACATAATTTAACACTTGATGCAGAAAAACCAATAGAAAAATCCACACTCTCAAAGGAACACATAAACCCCTCAACAACTCAACCTTTGAGATTGGGGAATATTTAATACTAGAATTGATCAAAGACTCCACCAAAGAAATAAAATTAAGATTTTCAACTTCACGTACATACTCAATATCAAAATTAGTATGATAAAGATAGAAAACACTCAACTCAACACTGAATTAAACATGAGAATTATAAAAGTGTAGCTTGGTGTTATTTGGCATTTATGCATTTACTAGTTAGTAATTACATTGACATTCAAATGAACTAAATGGCAAGATTGAGTTAGTTGTATTCTAGACAAATTTATTTAAGACAAATGTAAACTCCTTAATTTAGACTTCTTCGGAGGTAATCCAGCCTAATACTATTCAAACATAAGGACGCTTAATTAGTTATAAAAAGGGTGCATTCTTGTTTATAGGCCCTTTCCCTCTATATTTAAATCCCATGGATCATCTCTCAAGTCATTCCCTTTAATTGCTTAGAATCCACCATATTTCCTTATAAGTTCACACCCTTGTGAAAGGAAATATAAACAACCAAAGGGAACGACTTAAGAGACGATCCATAAGGGTTCAAATATAGAGGGAAAGGGCCTATGAATAAGAGTGCACCCCTTTTTCCAATCGGTTAAGGGTCTTGAAATATTTGGGGTTAATCATCCTTGTGTTTGAATAGTATTAGGTTGAGTGACCTCCTAGGAAGTCTAAACTCAAGAGCTTATAAGAAACTAATAGCCACAGCTCTCCCGAGAGTGTTGCTTTTTTGACACCTTACCCCTTAGGTCGAGCCCAGTTGGGAGCAAATTGGACCTACCAAATGTCAATCAACATATAATGTGATTCCCCAAAACCTTTTTGATACCAAATGTAAACTCCTTAATTTGAACTTCTTGGGAGGTCACCCAACCCAATACTATTCAAACCTAATGACGTTTAACAAGACCTTTAACTGATTGGAAAAAGGGAGTGCATTTTTGTTCATGAGCCTTTTCCCTCTATATTTAAACCCTATGGATCGTTTCTCAAATCGTTCCCTTTGATTGCTTACACCAAACTCCTAAACTTGAAGCCAAGAAGCAAAAGAACTAGAGCATGGAGTGACTCTTAAGCATACAGCACAAGGAGTGAAGGAATAGTAGCACGGAGTGGCTTGGAACAGTCCTAGCATTTAGCATCCCAATGCCAGGACTAGCATGCAAAACAGAGCCAAACAGAATTTGGTGTTATTTTAGCATACTGGTAGCCTAATGTAAGGATATAGGTACTCCACCAACTAGCATGGTATGGAACTTGGGCTTAAATCCAAGTTAGACGCAAAACAAAGACAAGCACACAAGCAGGAGTTAAACTATACCTTAGGTTCGTCAGCCATTCCCAAGGCCGCTCATAGCAAGTCATAGCCCATTGCACCATTGACAGTGCGCAAGGCAAGATGGAAATTAGCGATGGAACCCATAGTGCCACCTTCCTCAACAACCATGGTAGAGCTCTTTCTCACCAAGCCCAGAAAGCTCGAAATAAAGTGGTCTCCACACCACACTTTCCTCCTGACCTCACAGAGGCTTTTCCCAAGTTGGCGGTGGAGTTGACCATCTATAAAATAGATGCTTTCTCATGCAATGCAATTGACATTAATGGAGATGAGTTAGATAGCTTGAGACATCTCTCAGCCAGCCTCTCTCGGGACACCAAGGCGAAACACCGTGGCCTAACGGCCGGGTATAGGTACCTCTACCCCCCCATTTCCATCCCGAAGGGAATGCCCAAGCCCCTAGGAAGGACGAGGACCAATGAGCCACAAGGTACTCAAGTGGGGCACCACTCCACATGAGCTGGGAGCACCACAATCGGTTTCCCTATTGGGAGTGGGAGCTGCTCTTGAGCACTTCCCTGGGTGGCCCCTTCAGCACCACCCAAGCCCATGCTTACTCCCACCCAAGGCCCCTCGGCCCCAGTCTCAACCTCAAGTCAGTTTGGAAGCACCACTGGAGAGTTCCTTCAAGATTGGTTCCTGGACCTCACTATCCTTACTATACTTTTGGAACCCCCTGGAACCCCCCCCCCCTGGGAGACGCACGCTTTGGGCTTTCACCCCTTGACCCGTATTAGTATTCAGACTCGGTCTTGGACTTGATTTCGGACTCGATCTCGAACCCGACTTCGGACTCGGTCTCGGACTCGATCTCAGA